AAATTCCAATAAGTAACACTGGGATAGCTGGAATAATCAAAAATAGTAACAATTGGAAATACTAATTTTGGTTACTCGACACTCACCAATTAAGCTGAACAACCTTGAATTAATCAAAAATAATAATAAGAAATCATAATGGCAATATTTTGATGGTTTGGATAATTGAAATAATCAAACACAGTAATAATCAGAAACATTAATTTTGTGACATTAATTGAGTTAATAATAATCTTAATTAATTGATTATTTTACATGATACTGATGAATGTAATCTATGCTCTCAGGTAATTGATTAATTGAGTTAATCAACTAGTTCTAACAGAGCTGAATGATGTTTCCATGCATCTCAACAACACATCATTAGAGGAGTGTCCATTAAGATATCTAGCCTGAAAATATATGAAATTGTAGCTGATTCTTTCCCAACAGTGCTACTTAAACATTCACTGAAACTACATGAACAATATTCACATGGAGTACAGTTTTACTCAGTGTATGTATGTATATATATATATATATTCATAAATACAAGAGAGTATATTTCACCCCTTCACCCACAAAAAGGATACTAAGGGCCTACTTCTGCTGTATTTGAAGAAATTTTTTGTGAGGGAATATTTCAATGCTTAAGTATACATTTGGAAAATTTGTAATGATAAATTGATCCAGTATCATGTATAGATAGCTTAATCATGAAGAAATATTTGATGTGTTATTTTCATTTATTTATCCTAGGCTGGGGGTCTGGTATATAGCCATTAAAGTTCCATACATCTTTTCATATTATTCCAACTGAGTGCAAAAAAGATTAAACAGATATATATCATACTGACATTTCCAGTGATTATTTGCTTTAGGTGTACCCTACTCTCTCTTTTTCATTGCTAATTCTCTTTAATTTTAGTTTTGAGCTACTTTTAAGGAACAAGTAACTTCAAAGTGATTAATACATACTGATGTTTTAACCTATATATTCCAAGTTGAAAAGCTCTTTCTAAATTTACTGAGGCACCTGAGAAAAACTACAAGAGAAAAAAAAACACAACAAAACACCTTTCTACTTCTCCAATCATAAGTCAGTAAATGTCTAAGCTGGTTTGAGAACTTTAACCCTCTCACTATGGAAATCCTTTTATGTGCATGCGACAAAGACTTTTTGAGTTACATTCAAAATGTAATTAAACCACTTTCTTATCATAGTATACAAATAAATTTGGCATAAAACATAGCTGATAAGCCAAATTTTAATAGTATATAAAATTTTAAGTTCTTAAATTTATAAAGCAATATTAACAAAAATGTTCCCTAGTATGGGAATTGTGACCTTTTCTCTGTAGGCATTCCCTCTTCACTAACTTATTTACCACTTCTCCAAAAAAGTACAAAATTTAATGTAAATTATTCATTATAATGTTGTCATCACTCGGGAAAAGCACAACTTTTATAGCATTCAATTTTATATAGTTACACAGCCATAAAATAGAAAATCAGACCCCTCTTGCTAAACCCACCTGTCACACCCTCTCTTTCAGAAATTGTCAATAGTTCTCTTTGACATTTAATAATAGTGTCAACATATCATATTTTATATCCTCAAGCTACAAATCCCTATTCCTCCTTCCTCCTCTCTGCTGGCCATAGGAAGGCTGATCACAGTTTTGCTGCAGCTGGCCAGATTTCCTCTTTGAGTGACATTCTACACACTCTACAATTATGAATTGATTATATTAATATAACTCCCCCCCCCCCTCCCACT